AACACAGCAATAATTGTTGTAGGAAAAAGACATCAGTGAATGATAAAATTATGAGTGAAAATATAATCAGCAACAAAATATTTGTATAGTGTCTTCCCATGAGATATTCATTACAAAAGGAAAAATACTAACCTTGCAGGGCAGAAATCTGGCAGACACCACCTTAAACAAGGGAACAAACCTATCATCACCAGTAAAAAGACATATTAACATCATGAACCCCCTGCTATGGTGCAGAGAGGGGAACAATATCATGTCTGTGAAAAATGCATAACCTCTAATAATGAGAAAATATCAGAGAACATCAATTTGAGGAACATTATACAAAATAACTGACTAATAATCTTGTGTCAAGGTCATCAAAGACAAAACCGGAGGAAATCTCAGATTGGAGAACACTTAGAGATACAATAACTAAAAGCAATGTAAGATTCTTGAAAACAAAAATAACATCAGTGAGAAAACTAATAATACAGAAATTCAAATAAAATATCCACAGTACTGTATCAATGTTAACTTCCTGGTTTTGCTCACTGTACAATGGTTATTACAGCAAGATGTTAACATCAGGGGGAGTTGAGTGAAGGTTATGTGGCGTCTGTGTACTACATTTACAACTTTTCTGTAAATCTAAAAATCATTTAAAAAAAATTTTGCCCAGCATTAAAAAGCAAATTTCACTCATACATAAATCTGTTACCAGTCTACAGTTTCCTATCAGTTACAGGATAAAGTACACATTTGTTAAGATAAATACAAAGTTCACTACTTATTGGCCAAAACATCCAACATCCCGCACAAAAAAGTATTTGTAGTTCCCCCATAAAGCCTGTGTTGCATTACACATGAAGTACCCTCCCCTGCTGAAACTCACTCCCTACAACATTCTTCACCAATGGCACAATACTCAGAACAAACGCATTCTTCCCTAGGAAGGTACCTTTCCTGACCTACCTGAGAAGGATTCAGAATCCCTCCCTCCTGTAAACGCCTGCTATCTTCCTATTGGAAGAAATGAAACCCTCAAGATAGCTGGTTCTACTAACAGACACACAGTACAGAGCTTTTAACAACTTTATCATACACCAAACCCTGTTATAAGCACACTATACATCTTAAATTAACTTTTTAATAAGTTTTGAAATTAGGTAGTGTGAGTAGAGTATGACTCCTCCAATTTGGTTGTTTTTGCCTTTTTTTTTTCTTTGAGACTGGGTCTTGCTCTGTCTCCTGGGCTGGAATGCAGTGCTGTCATCATGGCTCACTGCAACCTCAAACTCCTGGGCTCAAGCGATCCTCTTGCATCAACCTCCCAAGTAGCTGGGACTACAGGTATGCACCACCATGCCTGGCTAATTTAAAAAGATGGGGTCTGGCTATGTTGCCCAGACTTGGTCTTGAACTTCTGGCCTCAACC